CCCGCTGTAACTAAGTTTTACCTTGTCATGTGATACACTCAATGTTACCTGTTGTATTTAATTTCTGATACTTTTGATAGCACGTATTGGTTACGATGCCCTGGTTTTTCTATCCAACAAGGACTTTTTGCGTAAAAAAAACTAACTTTTGTACATTGAGCTTCTGTCCTTTTAGAATTCGGATGCCTGGTTCACAGGATCGACCTGGGATAGACTTGCTTCAAGTCCGTTTGCGAGTACTAGTTCGCGGTAAATGTCAGGTTTCACTGCTCCCTGTACGTCCACCGTCCCGTTCCCAATGACTAGAACGTGTCGCGGTATTTACAAATATCTGGTCTGGTCACTGCAACTGTGTAAGGTGACTTGCAGCCGTATGCGAAGTTGCGGTTGAGATGCTTGCCGACTTCTATTTTTTTGGTCAGCGTCGGCCCCGCAATATCAATATTAACATTTATTTTGTAGTAGCAATGTCTGCATTTAGCTACCTGGACACGAATACCCTGAATGACTCATTACATCTCGAGTAGAAAATATCGAAGATTGGTTTTGGTTTTGCCGTCAACGTAACGTTAGCAACAGGACGAAAATGTGTTACCAGTCATAACAGCAGTCCATGACTACACTATGTACACGCGTAGCCGCAGACTGTTTATTTAAATTAAGTCTCGTGTTCGACGGTTTCAATTAGTCCCCGAATGCCTCACGGACTTTACTATGGATATAGAAGGCATTAGACCACGTGTGTCGGAAAAGGCGTATAGTAGTTTTTGGCAGTGGTCTCTACATTGTGACCGGTTTATCCCAGCTTACGGCCCTCACCAGAAGGCTGTTAATAAAGTTCCAGGAAATGGTCCAAATTGCATCAAGTTATTTTAGTGTGCGGCAGATGTACTTTGTGACTCTTCTCCGTTGTTGAGGCGTTTTGATAAATACATGCTTCTATTGAGTGAGCCACCATATGTCCATCTCGCTGGCACAAAATATGTTATCTTTTTAGGATCGTAGACGTTCGAATTTCAGAACGCCGTGCTACCCG